GGGCACCGCTGGCCGCCTGTGCGTGCCCCGGGTGCCTCTGCGGTGCCCATGCCTGCGTGCACCCGTGTGCCCCCCTGCTTCTGTGCGCCGGCCTGTGCGTGTCTTTGAGGGCCGCTGCTCGTGCGCGTGCCCCCACACACCTGTGAGCGTCCGTGTGCTTTGCAGCTCCGTGCACGTTTATGAATGCACCGGTGGGTGCACCTGCTTGTGCAAGCGCCGCTGCGTCTATGGGTGCACCCAGGCGCACCTGTGTGTGCCCCTGCTTACACATTTGCACCTGAGTGTGTGCATGCGCCTGGGTGTGCACCCAAGTGTGCACGCATACCTCTGTGGGGGTACATGCACCTGTGAGTTTGGGCACCTGTGTGCACCCCTTGGTGTGTGCACCTCTGTGTGTATTTGTGTGCCTGCCTGTGTGCTCCTGTGTATGCGTGAATTGGCACATATTTCTGTCCTGCTGTTTGTATACGTGTGTATGTGTGTACCTGTATGGGTATTTGAGTGTGTGTGCACCTGTAGGGTGTGGGGGGGGTGATTCTCCGTGTGTGTATCTATATCTGTGCACATGTGTAGCTGTAGCCATAACTCTGTTTGTGTCGGTGCACCAGTGCGAATCTGCACTTGTGAGAGTGCACCAGGATATGCACACCTTTGTGCATCTCTGCACCCCTGTGTATACGCGTACTTGTGTGCACCTATGTAGGCGCCTGCATGTGTGCCCAGGAGCGTGCACCGGTGAGTGGGGGGGGTGCGTGTGGGTGGGTGCACGCACACATGCATTTGTGAGCATGTGTGCTGGTGTATGCGTGTACGTGTGAGTTTCTGAGTGTGCGCATCTAGTGCATCTCATGTGTGTACATGTGTGTACCCCACGCCTTGTGTGTGTGTGCGTGCGCGCGCATGTGTTTATGCACCTGTGAGCCTTATCTTCACCTGCTTGCACGTATACATATGTATGCTGCCTGAAGGCAGTGCGAGTGTGCACCTCTGTGTGTGTGGGTGTGCACACATGCGTGCATTTGTGCGTATGTGCACGTGGATGTACCGCGCGTGTGTGTCTGCACCTCTGTACGCAGGGAGGTGCTGGGGGGCACAAGAGACCAACTGAGAGGGCTGCAGGGTGGTGGGGCGCTGCAGGGAGGCAGAGACTGACCCAGCTGGCTGCAGGGTGCTGTGCGGTGGCAGAGACCAGCCGGGATGGCTGTGGGGTGCCGCGAGGTGTCGGAGGCTGACCTGGCTGGCTGCAGGGTGTCGGGGTGCCGCGGGGCGGCGGAGACCGACCCGGCAGGAGGCTGGGTGCACGTCGAGACCT